CTGTAGTGTGCCCATCTAACAGTGCTGTAGGGAGTGACCCCACACACGTTCCTACCTGTAGTGTGCCCGCCTTACACAGTTTTGGAAATGGACTTGCTGGGTCTGCTTATGAGTTTGGACAATTTCATTCTCAATTCATCCTAGAAAAAGTGCTACATACCTCATCACTGAATATCACAACAGTCACCAGGAAGAGTACTCTGAAGGTGATCATAGTGATACTCAGCAATTAAGTACATAGCATCTTTTCTAAGATGAGTGTGTGACCTTAATCATCCAACCTTGTACATTCATTTGTAACTATTTTTAGATTTCCCTAACATTCATCCCTGTTCCAAAAATATGTACAAGAATGCCTAGAAGACATTTAGAGTGAGTATATAGTTATGGTTTATATCCTGCGATTGTTTCACTGACATCTCTGGGGAAATCTTCATAAGGCCTTCAGAGCTACACCCACAGCAGCCAGCCTGGGGCCCCTACTGCCTAAGGCATCCCTTAGTCCCCTTCCTCTGTCCCCACACACAGGGTATTAGCTCAGTTTTCCCTTAACTTTGTTTCTCTGGCCGTGTCCCTCTCTCACACTGTTCCCTTGTCTCCTGGGAGTCACGCCTATATCCTAACATCCTCTAACAAGATGCAATAGTTGGGAAGGATTTCACAAGTCAAGACGCAGGTCAAGACCCTGCCAACAGAGCAGCGCTAATGAGGGCAGTACGAACCGGAGTAGTAGCTCACGCAGCCAGTGATCTTTCTCCAGCACACCTCCCCATGCTGAGCCACGATGCTGCTGATGTCACAGTCATCTCTGCCTTCAAACCCAAGTTTACAGATCATATCATGCACTGAGGGAGAGAGACATGTGGTGATGGGCTCCACTGTTAATGGCTAAGAAGTAAAACATAAAAGGTACTATTTAGCAGAAAAGACGACAGGAATATTAATTATGTTTATGTCACAACAAAATTCTAAGTATGGAATGTACTCCAGTATAGTTTCTATTAAAATGAGAGCAACATGATTAAAACACTGATTCAGTTTTAACTAAAAATAATTGTTGTGCCTGAGAGTAGCAGAGAGGCTGAAGAAGTTTGCATAGGATTCATACCAGACCCAAGGAAAACTGAGGAGCCGAAGATACCCATGACATGTCCTTTATTCTTCTCTTGATGGCCTTGGATAAATGTGGGAACACTGCCTTCATCCACCTGGGAGGGGGTAGGCAAGCTGGCCCAGGAAGTCCCCCCATACATTAGTGGCTAAAATAGTGGCTCCAAACCAAGCACTGATGATGACCACTTTACGTACTTCAGGTAACACAGGACACCCACAGCTACTCAAACAATCTGGCACCTTGTGGCCTTCAGGTAAGAAAAGTTAACTCAATCACCTTTCCCCATGATAATCTGTTTAAATGTTTTCAAATGTGAAAAACACTTAAGGAGTTATTTTATTGGTATTTGTTAAAACACAAGGTGCTTTTGTGAGCTCACTTCTGAATAAGGCGTTACTCCTGCCTTTCTACCCTGGTCTGCTGTCCCTTCTGCTTTTTGCCTTGACTGGGGAACTCCCCTCTGCTTTTCCCTCTTCTAGCAGGAAACCTTGTAGGCCAATGGCTTGCACACCTGGCCTCTTAACCTTTGATTCTGCTTCTCCCTTCTTTTCTCTCCCCTCGTTTCAGGGGTTGGAACGGCTGCTCAAGTTAGCTGTTGCCATTAATTTAACAACAAGGCATTGGGTTTCCCATCAATTTTCCCTTGGTCCACCTAGGCTGACAAATGTCTGTGCACAGCTGAGGGCAGTGGCTATCACTGACTTCAAGGCGCCCCATCTGTGCTACTTTTTCACTAGTGGCACAGATTCCCTCTCTTGCCTTATGGTCTCTGCCTCCCTCAGAGCTGCTGTGGTGCTGGTTACTTGTTGGTTGCCCCACATAAGTGCTGATATTCACACAGAGGACCCAAACAGGGCAGAGGTTGCACTCCGCAGCTGTCCTTCGTATCAGCTGTAAAGTGTCCAGCATTGACCCTCAGACATTCAAGTTAAACATGGCATTCTGCATAGCAGTTCCCAAAGAACCTGTTGCAACTAATAGAGCTGCCAGTGACTAACAGGACCTGGCAGGTCCCCAGCGTTAGACCACATGATACAGATGGCAGCCACGACCCAGTCCAGCAAGGAGTGGGCACTTCGGCCGTGATAGTAACACTCTAGCTGCCTACAGGTTAGGCTTGTCATGACAGAGGCTGAGTTCTCCAACTGAGGCATCACGCCATCCACACCTAGATCCCATAAATGCAACAGCCAAGAGGCCAGGGACTCGTGAATTCTCTGCCTAGACTGTTCCCCAACTCTACCAAATCCATCTGGGTATATGGACAGAAAGTGGGATGTTTGGTCACTTGTGGGGGTGCAGCTTCCTGCCCTCCTGGTGCCCTTGGCTGTTGCATTTTTACCCTTTTTGTTACCCACTGCTCAGGCCCTAAAGCAGGAGGCTACCACCACTGCCACAGGATTCAAGTGATCCTGCTGAGTTACTGTACTGCCCCTCCCCAGAAGCCATTTCACTTCCCCAATCCCTGTGCTGAGAGTCACACTGCCACCCCTCCTCAGGGAGCTGCCTTGTCTCCTCCAGGGCCCTGCACTGCTGTTGTTTTGCCTTAAACTGGTCCTGGGGTCCCCAGATGCTGCTGCCTCAGCCCCTGCACAAAGAGCTGTAAGAAACGCCGTCTTCGGCCCCCACTACCGCACTGACACTTTTCAGAATCCCTCTTGACTCACAGTGGTGTCCCATACACATCAGGTCACTCTCAAGTACCATATACTCATGGCAGGCCACCCTCTTATCCCCACCCTAGGGGCAGAGAAGGTTCCATATGGTGTGTGACGAATCCTGCCAACAATGTCAACAGCAGTGCCAGAGATTGAGGCTGAGGAGGTTTGCACAGGATTCACACAGACCAGAGAAAAATCGAAGAGCCAAAGGCAGCTGTGATGTGTCCTTAACAGGGGATGTCCACCTTCATCCAGCACCCTGAGAGCAGGCAAACTGGCACAAGCAACTTTCCCCACAGGTAGAAAGCCTTGGCCTTACATAGTGGCTAGAACGGTGGCATTGAATCAAGCACTAGTGACAATTACTTAAGATAAAAGGCACCTGCTGGCTTAATTGTGGTTACTCAAAACAATCTGCCACCTCATGGTTGTCCAGCAAGAAAGGCTAATTGACTCATTTTCCCCATGACAATCTACGTAAATATTTCCAAATATGAAAAATGCTGAAGGACTTAAAATTATGTTATTGAACAAAGTTGTTAAGATATGTGCTTACAGAAGCTCCATGTATTTTATGAATAGGGTGCTACTTTTTCCTGCATTTCTTTACTATCCCAGAGTTATCAAAATAAGCAATTTTCTAGTGGAGAATAGGAGAACAGAATCAAGCATAACAAAAACAAAAGGACCCCATCCAGAGGGAAGGATAACGTCTGGAAAATACCCAACAAAGTTGAAGATTGGGAGTGCAGCCGAGAGAGAAGATATCTGCAGGACACCTCTGCTGAGGCAAGCTGAGCCTCCAAGAAAGCAATCTATAGGTACATAATACATCCCAAAGGAAAAGTGTCCATCCCCTCCCCCAAGAAAGTTATGTTTTTCTCTTTGTTTTCTCTTTGTCTGCTCCTGTAAGTTTTCTACAGGTGAGTGGTGAATTAAGGACCTATTATCTCACCCCACATGTGAGAGCTACAGGAAAGGGAGTCTACTTCCCTAGAGGGAGTCTGCTGAGATTCTGAATACTCCCTTACCTGGCAGAAAAACCGAACAAACGTTTTTACTGCCATTTTGAATTTCCAGTCCACCCTTCCCCCCTTGCCTACAGAGACAGTGAGGGGGGCCCAAGAGCAGCATCCCCCCACCCCTGCTGTACCAAGCCCCCAGTCCCCGTCCTGTAGCTGGAGACCTACTGGACCCACTAGACCCTTGTGTGTTCCACGGGCAGTGGTGGAGGAGTCCCCTGCTCCAGGCACCCGTGCCGGGCAGGCCCAGAACTGCTTGCTAGAGCCAGACACATCCTTCGGGTGGTGGCTGAGAAGTTCCACACTCCAGGCACCCATACCAGGCAGGCCCAGAACTGCCAGAGCCATGTGCTCCTAGCATGCCCAGTCGGCAGCCTGAGAACTATGAGAGGACAGTCAGTTGAAAGGGAACCACACTAGAACGGTGGTACCCCGAGACAAAGAGCAATAGCCACAGCAGCAGGAACAACAAGGCTGACACCCCTGAGGCTCTTCCAGACAGACACGCTCTGCCTCTCTGGGCAATCAGAGGAAGCCAACATCTTCTCCAGTGGCAGCCACTGACTGAACAGTTCTGGTATGGACTCCAAACGGTGTAAATTCAGCACAGGGCAGAATCAGCAGAAAAACTCTGGTAACTTGAATAACCAGAGTAGATAAACTCCCCCAAGGAAGGATGGAGCAGATGCAATTGAAGATCCTATCCATAAACAGATGGCTGAGATGTCAGAAATCAAGTCCAGAATTTGGAAAGCAAGATTAACAGAATGGAAGAAAGGAGGAAATCAGAATTTCAAGAAATTATTCAAAAGATGTCTCAAGAATTCAACGATTTCAAAGATAAAATGACCAAAGATTTTGAAACATTGAGGAAAGAGTCTGCAGCCCTCAAAGATCTGAAAAATACAGTAGAATCCCTCAGTAATAGAATGGAGCAGGCAGAAGAAAGGCTCTCAGACATTGAATACAAAGCTTTTGAACATGCTGAAGCACTCAAAGATTAAGAGAAATAGAGAGCAAAAACAGATCTTTCTCTCAGAGAACTCTGGGATAATTTGAAGAAAACTAACATTTGCCTTATAGGAAGCCCTGAAGGCGACAAAGTTGCTTCACAAAACACAGAGGTTCTTCTTCATGAAATTATGAAAGAGACATTCCAGACATGCCAAGAGATTCTGAAATTCAGATAGCAGACAGTTTCAGAACCCCAGCACAACTCAACCTGAACAAGAAATCACCCAGGCACATTATAATTAACTTCACTAAAGCTAATATGAAAGAAAAAAATTTTGAAAGCAGCTAGATGTAAGAAAACCATAACCTACAAGGGGAAGAATATTAGAATGACAGCAGATCTCTCTGCTGAAATCTTTCAGGCGAAGAAGGTGGTCATCAACTTTTAATCTCCTAAAACAAAATAACTTTCTTTTTTTTTTTATTGCTCTTGGTAGAGTGCTGTGGAGTCACAGCTCATAGCAACCTCCAACTCCTGGGCTTAGGCGATTCTCCTGCCTCAGCCTCCCAAGTAGCTGGTACTACAGGCACCCACCACAGCGCCCAGCTATTTTTTGTTTCAGTTTGGCTGAGGCCACGTTTGAACCCACCACCCTCTGTATATGGGGCTGGCATCCTACTCACTGAGCTATAGGCGCCGCCCAACAAAATAACTTTCAACCCAGGATCCTGTATCCAGCCAAAATGAGTTTCATTTATGATGGAGAAATTAATACTTTAATGACATTCACATGTTGAAGAAATTTGCTATAACTAAATCAGCTCTCTAGGATATTCTCAGACCTATCCTCCATAATGATCAGTGCAATCCTCCACCACATAAGTAAACACACACAGAAAATTTTGATCAAATTCCAACTTCCACAGTGGTGAAAGGAATAAAAATGTCCACGGGACTTTCAAAAAACTCAATACCCAAAATTTTACCAGGCTTATCAATATTATCAATCAATGTGAATGGCTTAAATTGCCCTCTAAAGAGGTACAGGCTGGCTGACTGGACACAAAAACTCAGGCCATATATCTGCTACATACAATAATCTTATCTTACCTTAAAAGATAAATATAGACTCAGGG